AATTCCTCCTCTCTCTTTTCATCTTGATGATGTGTGGATGAGCGGGGGGAGGGAGCTGGAACCAGTTCTAAACAGCACTGTAGATGTGTGGAACCTCTTCTATAGAAGAGGTTAGAACTGGCAGGAACCCACCCCTGCCCAGAGGCTATCTTTTCTTTTGGATCTTCAGGGCTGCCACATTTACTGTGTGGGAAACTGGGAAGGGGGTGTGTGTTCATGGAGTTGGTAGAAGTATTTAGCCATAACGGCATTCTTTTCTCCAAGAATCAAGGATGTTCAGCCTGCACCTTCAGTGGCGTGACTGGGAGGCATCTCCAGTTGGGACGGTGGATTGATTGGAGCATGCGATGGACATGTGGGTGCAAGGGAAGGGACTTCAACTTTCCTTTGGGTGGGGAAAACCTGGGAGCTTTCAGATTTGGGTTTTTCCAGATGTGCCAATATGATATTTCTAATAAAATAGAACTTTGAGCAACTGCTGGCCTTGGAGTCTTCATTGGTTTGGGGTGTTAGTTGGACCTCTGGCAGGTAAAGAATTACAAATAGTTTGCCTGTTGCACCATGGGTGGTGAATTACACCAGGAAATTGTATATTGCAAGCTTGGTTTTGATTCATTAAGAATAGATTTCCCCAGTTTAGTGTTTTCAGATAGGCAAGACTACAATTATGAAAAACTTTCATAAAAACTTCCTCTCATGAAAGTTTACCCTCATCAGAGGTAGGTTCCTACCGGTTTGGCTGAAATGGTAGTGGTATGCCGGCCTCAGTCACCCAGGTTGGCCACGCCCCTGAACCACTTCCCCGGTCACTGCCATTGCCACTGCCATCTTTTTTTGAAGTTCTGTGCATGCGCAGAACAATTTCCATTGAACTGCGCATCCAGAGTGCATGCACGCAAAGGGCGCCCACAAGCAAACCGGGAGTAAAGCCAGCCAGAACCCACCCCTGACCCTCATATAATAAGAACTACTCCTTCCCTAGTGAGTTTCCACTAAAAATAATAGTAAAAACATGGTTCCAGGAGAAAGCTTATTGAGAATGTCAGCCCTTGGTAGTAGGGCAGCATGGAAATATTAGAACAGTAATAAACAAATGCCCTACCATTACCATCATGGGTTGATCATTTAAGTTCAGGAGAAAAAAATATTGAAGGTAAGATCTCTAGGAGAGCAGTTACTTATGGAAGCTATGGAGCTTTGGATTTGTTTGAGACTGAACACTCACCTCTAAAGGCTGATTTGATTTTCTTGAACATTTATTTGTTAAATGCGTGTATAAAACGTGTGTATCAACGCATGCATATAATGTGTATATAAATGTGTGCACAATGTGTATATAAAAATGATCACAAATATATTATAAATCAATGCTAAAAATTAAATATTATTAAAATGAAAATATATCAGCCTCAGGCATGGAGAGAGAGAGTATATCCACCTCAGGAATGCAGTCATCTGAACGTACGTCCAGTTCCCTGGGATCCACAGGCCTGATGATATAACCAGGTCTTGAGGATTTCCAGAACATTAGCAGAGATGGAGCTCACATAACTTTGAGTAGGGGAAGAATGTTCCATAAGCCGGGTGCCTGAGTTTCGAGACAACACTGTTACTTGCCAAAATACATCTAGCAGATGTACTAGATCAGGGGTAGTCAACCTTTTTATACCNCCTATGAAGCGGTATATAAGTCTACTGCTATTGCTATCATAATGCATTTGTGTATCACGTGGTCTTATGAGAAGGTACAATGAAATCTGTATCTGAGGAAGCCAGTGTAATCTATGCTTATTAAATTATGCTCTCACAACTTAATTGTATTCACTGATTTTTTTAATGCTGAAGATTACATTAAATTTCTTGTAGATTTCATTTACCAATCTGGTGTCAGTAGATGAGAGACTAATTTATAAGCCACATCCTCAAGAGCCAGAAAAGTAAGTAATGTATTTTCAGAATTTTACTCTATTTATCTTTATTGTATGAAATACTTTAGCAAATCACAGTAGATTGTTTAAAAATAATCAAAATACTGCTCAACATACTTGGACCAATAATAAAAAACTAAATTTAACAGATATAATATGTGGAATTTAATTCAAACTTAAACTAATGTGAAATGCCACTTTACAACAGTAATAACCTATATGATATTTGTGAATACTGGAAAGGAATTTTGCCCCCAAATACAATTTTCCTTGACTTACAACTACAATTGGGACCAGAATTTTGGTCATAAGTCAAGGCATCCACTTGACTGCTTTGTTCACTAAGCAGAGTGCATGGAACATCAGAGGGTGAGGGAGATCCTGGCAGGCCATGCATTAGCTGGGGGTGTGCTACCGGGTGGTGCAAAGCTGCAACCATTCCGCCCAACTATATATAATATTCTACTTAAATATGGTTAACTGGTTAATTTCCATATGTTTAATTTTGTTTTCTTTTATGGTCGTATTAAAAACCATACATTTAGTTCACTTTGAGGGCCCTATGAACCTAAATAATGCTTTGTGGATTTATCTGTGATCCCGAGAGTTAGGTTGTATGGTTCCATTGGGCTGAATATTTTGTGACTGAGGCCACATTCAACATTTGTGCAGATTGGGTCAGACACATTTCCAGAATTCAAAATAAGCAAGGATGCGTTTGGAGGATAGCTTGGTATTTCCCTTTGTTTTCCAATTGTGGAGTGCCTAGCATATATATTGAGGCAAATACAGACATATAGTTGACTTAAGACCACAGTTGAGTCCAGAATTTCAGTTGTTACGTGCGTTTTGCCCAATTTTACAACCTTTCTTTCCACAGTTGTTAAGTGAATCATTGCACCTATTAAGTTAGTATCACGGTTATTAAGTAAATCTTGCTTCCCTATTGACTGCATTTCAAAAGGTCGCAAAAAGAGGTCACATGACCCCAGAACATTGCAACCATCATAGGTTGCACCTGAATTTTGATCACATGACCACATGGATATTGCAATGGTTGTAGCAATAGCANTGCAGTACTGCACCCTAACCACTGCGCCACCTAGACTCTGATGCACCCAAGTTGGGAAAACCTGAATAGTTTTACAGCTTTGCTCTAGGTTGCATGTTCAGGATAACCTTTTAAAAACAAAGCCAAATTCCATCCAATCTGCAAGTTTAAAAAAAAGCCTTCTTGGGATTCCAAACTATTTATTTGCCTTTAATTCATGTATATCACAGCATTATTGTGCCTGACTGGTTTTAGTATATGGCATTTTGTGAGGTACTTGGTGCTCTCTGCGCTTGGTTTTCTTGCAGACGTTTCATTACCAAACTCGGCAACATCTTCAACCCTAAGATACAAATATTCTCTTCTATCAATACAGGTAGTTGTCAATTTACGACAATTGAATCATCATTTATGTTGTTAAATAAGAATTAAGTGAGTGTTGCCCCATTTTAGGACCTTTCTTGCTACTGTTATGCAAATCATTGCAGTTAAGTTAGTAACAAGATTAAGTGAATCTGGTTTTCCCATTGCTGTTGTCAGAAAGTTGCAAAAGTGATCAGATGAGCCCAGGATACTGCAACGGTAATAAATATGAACATTACCAAGTGTGCCTGAATTTTGATGACCATGGAGATAGAGCAACAGTCCCAAATGTGAAAAACGATCATAAATCTCCCCCTCCCCGTTCCATCATAACGCCAAACGTCACTAAACGAATAGTTGTGGCATTTTTATTTCATGCTGCTGCAACAGTCTTCTTCTATAATTATTTAACCTGTACTTGAGATGCAATATAAAGTATGTATGTTTCTTGTCCACCTCACTGAGGGTCTCAAGGCCACAAATGATGGAGATGTATTAATGGAACCGATGGGGAGGAAGTCCCAAAGGCGTTTTTTTCAAGAGGCATCTGGACTTTCTGGTTTTTCTTTGAAGACGTTTCGCTTCTCATCCAAAAAGCTTCTTCAGCTCTGACTGGATGGAGGGAAACGTCTTCAAAGAAAAACCAGAAAGCCCACTTGCCTCTTGAAAAAAGCACCTTTGGGATAACCATGAACTGGACGACTGAGAATCTCTATAGACGGGGAGAAGGGACGCTGTGCATCTTCTCTCCCCGCAACCCCAGGAGCTCTTCCAAGGCATAAGCTAAGAATGCTATCTTTTCGCGCAGGCGCAGCCGGGCGTCCCTCCCGGGTGAAAAGAAAAAAAAAGGAAGAAATGTTGATTTCAGTTCTGACGTCACCGGCCCTCAATAGCCAGCTGCCCTGTCAGAGAGCTCCCTGAACCTTTGGCCCCACCCACTCTCCTGCGGCCGCTCCTCGCGCCAACCGCGCAGGCGCCTCTGGGTCTCCGCCTGGCCCGGCTTCTTCGGCGACGCTCCCTTGCCTAGAGTTCCTAGTCGGTGTCGGCGGGCTGGCGAAGGCAGCGTCTCCCCAGAGGGTTCCGAGGAAGCACCGCCGCCCTTCACGATGAAGATCTGGACCTCGGAGCACACCTTCGAGTGAGTGGCCGAGGCCTCTGAGAAGCGACGGTTGTTGGAGGGGGGGGGGACCGTCACCAGGGTAACGGAGGCTCCCATTCCCTCCCGGCGGGGGAATAGCGAAGGCTCGGACGGTCCTTCGACCCCCGGGGCGAGCCTCCTCCGTCTCCTGCGGCCGTCCGCCTCGGCAGTCCATTCATTCGTCCATGTATCTCGGCGCGGGAAAATCCTCCAGGGCTGACCTTGGCGGAGAAAGTGCGGGCGAGGGACTACAGGGCCCATCATCCTCCCAGGCCGAGTGACGGGGGTTCGCGGGTATCAAATACCACCCGCATTGACTTGGAGCCGTGCAGCTCTCGGCTCCTTTTCTTCCTCGAGGTCTCCCCTTGGGGATTTCGAAGAAAGAGGGGGGACACCGCACCTGTCTTTGGGGAGGCCGGGAAGGGCAACCCCCTTCGCCTGAGCAATACCTTCCCTGCGTCTCTTTCCCAAAAGTTGCTTGTTTTGGAGAGAGCAGTGCAAGGTAGTCCTCGACTTATGACCTCAATTTCTGAGCCCAACATTTCTGTTGGCTAAGCTATATAAGCGATTCTGTTGCTCTCGGTTAAGCGAATTGTTGCCCCACTTTCCTTTCCTGCAGGGGTTAAGTGAATCTGGGTTCTTCCCCCCCCCCCATTGCTTTGTCAGAAGGACTGCCAAAGGGGATCACATGATCCTTGGGACACTGCAACCGTCATAAGTATGAGCCAAGCATCCGAATTTGGATCACGTGACTGTGTGGTTCCTGCAGTGGTCATAAGTGTGAAAAATGGTCATAAGCAGAGGTGGTATTCAACAGGTTCTGACCAGTTCTGGAGAACAGCTAGCAAAAATTTTGAGTAGTTCAGAGAACCGGTAAATACCACCTCTGACTGCACCCAACTCCATCTATTCTCTGCCTCCGAGTCCCAGGTGATTGGGAGGAAATGGAGATTTTACAGTATCCTTCCCTTGCCACACCCACCAAGCCATGCCCACAGAACCAGTAGTTAAAAAAAAAAAGACTCCCACCACTGGTCATAAGGCACTTTTTCAGTGCCATTGTAACTTTGAACAGTCACTAAATGAACTGTGGTAAGTCCGAGGACTATCTGTAGTTTTTTCTCTCTCTCTCTCTCTTTCTTTCCCCCTGCCCTGGCCTTAGGGACAAATGGTAAAAGGTACAGTATGCTTGATTATAAACGCTGTGATTGGTTGGTAAAGGGAAAAGGGGGGGGGGAGAAGGGAGCAAAAGCAGAAGAGATGAGCTTGGCTTTTTTTTCAGAAGCAGGAATTATATAGTACAAAGCCAGGATTTAGCTTTCATTGTTTTTGTTTACAGTGTGATTGTGACACACCGGGGAATTACAGTATTACCTTGTTTGTTTGTTTGTTTGTGTGTGTGTGTGTGTGTGTGTGTGTGTGTGTGTGTGTGTGTGTGTGTGTGTAGGTAGG